CACACACACACACACACACACACACACACACACACACACACACAGTAGCTCACAACCATCTATAACTCAGTTCCAGGGGATCTGACCTCCATGGGCACCAGACATGCGCATCTACACTTGCAGGCAGAGACATACCAATAAAAATAAAATACATAATCTTAAAAAAGAAATACTTTTAAAAGCCAGTGTTCTAGCCAATGTGCATGTATTAAGGAAACTATCAGGTTCCTTGTGAGTGATACTCGGTGAGCCTAAAACTGGGCATGGTTGCAGTAGTCACAAGGCAGGAGGTGAGCCCTATCTTCCATACAGGATGGCAAAGCTACCTATGGACACCAGGAGAGAGTAGAACAGAAGCCTGCCACGTGCCATAGGCTCCCGGAGGAAACGGTGTGACTTCCAAACACTAAGCACCGAGGTCCCTGTCTACCGCCAACTCTGTACACAGTTTGGAGATACTTAACTATTTTTACCTTGGCCTCCTTGCTTCTGAGATAAAAGCTGTACATTAAAAGTCCACAAAGACATGTTCTAGCTTTAAAAAGCTAGAAATGAAAAGGTAAAGCCTGGTCATGTATTTTTAATAAATAAGTCAAAGCTTGGATGTTCTTAATGTATAAGGGGGCTTTTGTAAAATCAATAGAAAAGATGGCTGCTCCAAAGGGGAAACATGGGCTATATACACAGGATTTCACACAAATGTTTCTCCACTAAATATTTTATTTAAATTCAAGACCAGCTTAAATCTAAAGTGATAGAACTAGTTTTTACTTTATTTCTGACAGTCATGTCCTCAGCCTTTGATAACCACGCTTTTCATAACATTTATGAGAGAAGAAAGTGATTGGAATAAAAGACGGAAAATAAGGATGAAGATTCATGGTTCTGAACTAGTTTCTATTTAAGACAAGATCTTGCCATGTAGCCCAAACTGGCCTTGAACTGGTAATCCTCCTGCCTCAACCTCCCGAGTGCTGGAATTACAGGTGTGTGACTCCATGCAGAAGCTCTTCGCTGTCGTTTGTTTGTTTGTGTTTGTTTTTGAGAGGTGGGTAGAGATCAGGTAGGAATGATCAAAAGGCTAGAAGGATACACATTGGGTTGATAACTGTTATCTCTGAACACTGGTTAATCATTGTATTTCTTCCTTGAAACTGTGACGTTTCTCTGAATATCCACAATAGACACATTTTTTTTCTAATTTAGGAGAAATGTTTAATCCGTGACATCCCAAAAATAAGGCTTCTTACATTCAGCACCATCAAAAGTTAATTTTGACACCAAAATAATAAAACCTTTCCTAAAAATGTCAAAAAAAAAAAAAAAACTTGTTAGACACAGCCTAGGCCCTAGGGAAGAAACTAGTACATTTATTTATTATTCTGCTAAGTGGACATAGTATTAAACCAATGCCTAGTGACTTACAGATATGCCGTAGATGAGTGTGCCTCTCAACCCTCATCAGAGAAGCTTATTTTTTTGCAGTAGATATTAATTAACACAGAGACAAGCTAGAGAATGAAAGACTACAGAATGCTCAGCCTGGATGAGACCCTGATAGCACACTGCATCTATCCAAGACCGAGAGCTCATCAAGGAAGAGGGGGCAGAAAGAGTGTAAGAGCCACGTGTGATGGAAACCTACAGCAAAGCATGTCTCTGGACACAACAGGGAAGCTGCGAATGTGAACTCAGTAGCTGTGACAACATGCACCAGACCTGTACAAGCTGAGCCAGACCAAATCCCAGCACAGGAAGGAGAAGTGAGCACCAAACAAGTCCTACTCCTAGCTAAGGACCTATTGGCAACTGATAGTTGCTAGGAAAGGGGACACCATCTTTCTTTAAGGGTGGGTGACTACAGTGAAGGCCACACACTCAAGAATATACGAGCAGCGTGAACTAGACTCAAACAGTTTTCAAAAAAAGAAAAAAAAAAGAGTACACAAGGTTGGGTGAGTCTGGAAAGTGGCAATCTGGGAGGAATTGGGGATGCATGTGACCAAAATACATTATATGGAATTATCAAAGAATTGATACAGATATTCAAATAAAACAAATTTTAAAAAAATGGAAAAGCTATCAATGGCAGCTCTTATTTTCTGTGGTTATGTCTCTATTACAGCACCCATCTCACTTAATTCTTGATTGGTCTACCTGTATTCTCAATTCTACCCAAGTTTCTCGAGGACAGAAATCTAGGAATATTTATTCATAGCTCCCAGTACTGTGAAATAGACACTCTGTAAATGTTTGTTAATAACTGGTAATATTAGCCAGGTGGCAGTGGTGCATGCCTTTAATCCCAGCACTTGGGAGGCAGAGCCAGACAGATCTCTGTGAGTTCAAGGCCAGCCTGGATCTACAGATCAAGATCCAGGACAGGCACCAAAACAACACGAGGAAACCCTGTCTCGAAAAAAACTAAATAAATAAACAAATAAATGGTAATATTGAAAGATCACTAGTCTGGAAAATATTAGGCAAGAGGACAGAAAATGTGAGGTAGAGCGTGAATGATGAATGGCAGTAGGTATTTTTATTAATACTTTCACTCATCTATCCATTGGCCCTGCTTGGCATGAACACTGTGTTAGACATTGAACTAAAAATGCCCCAGAGCCCAGGAACTCACAGTTTTAGGATAGAAGCAACCATCTGAGGTTGTCCCTTTTATAATTTATTACCTACATTCAACTGCAGTCTAAAAATATTACATTGAAAATTCCAGAAAATAAAGAATTCATAAGTTTTAAATTCAAATAATTCTGAACAGTGTTCTGTCAGAATTCTGAAATCTTACTCCATTCTTCCAGGACATGAGTCATTCATAAATTCAGCGCATCCACACTGTATATGCTACCCACCTATTAGTTACTTAATAAATATCTGTCTCAGTTATCATCTCAATCGCTGTGGTATTGTAGGGCTTTTATCTAGAATTAGATATTATAGGAGGTTTTGGGCATCTTTGGGGTGTCTTGGGAAAACAGTCCCACAGAGAAGAGGGAACTACTGTAAACTAGAGGAAGAAGTTTCACAACCTGCAGAGGGCAGGAGGAGAATCAGGGCGGAACAGACAAGGTCACATGGGCAGTGTCCAAGGATGGACAGCTCTAAGGACAAAATGCTGGAGAACCAGACAGGGGTGGGAGTGGGAGGCAGCACTTCTCAGAATGCTTCAAAACTCCATTTTTCCTGTCAGCCACTTCCACACCCAGTTCACAGGCCGAGAAGTTACAGCATGGAAATGTGACCCCCTTTGCCAGAGGGAGGATCTCAGCAACAATGCCCACACACGCGACCTGTGACCATTGCCTTGAGCCTCAAAATTCAACTCTGCAGAAATCATATGGCCATCTCTTCCTGGGAAGTAACTTCAACCTTGAGGAGAGATGGCCCTGAAGCAAGGGTTTCTAGCACCATGTCTGCATATTATCACCCCTGTGGAGATAGAGGAAGGGTCTACTCAGGTGTGGGGGCCCCTTACCTATGAGATGATAGAACTATCCCTCAAGGAGAATCCTGAACACATATACAGTCTCCCAGATACAGGAAGGGTTTCTCAAACACCTTAAATGTGTGTGTGTTGAGTGTCTGTGTCTGTGTGTCTGTGTGTGTGTGTGTGTGTGTGTGTGTATGTTGAGTGTCTGTGTGTATGTCTGTGTCTGTGTCTGTGTGTATGTGTATGTGTGTGTGTTGAGTGTCTGTGTCTGTGTGTGTGTGTGTGTGTGTGTATGTTGAGTGTCTGTGTGTATGTGTCTGTGTCTGTGTCTGTGTGTATGTGTATGTGTGTGTGTGTGTGTTGAGTGTCTGTGTCTGAGTGTGTGTATGTTGAGTGTCTGTGTGTATGTGTATGTGTGTCTGTGTCTGTCTGTGTCTGTGTGTATGTGTCTGTGTGTGTATGTCTGTCTGTATGTGTCTGTGTGTGTCTATGTGTATATGTGTGTGTCTGTGTCTGTCTGTGTCTGTGTGTGTCTATGTGTATATGTGTGTGTCTGTGTCTGTCTGTGTCTGTGTGTATGTGTGTGTGTGTCTGTGTGTTGAGTGTCTGTGTCTGTGTGTATGTGTCTGTCTGCCTGTGTGTATCTATGTGTATGTGTGTGTCTGTGTGTGTCTGTGTGTTTCTGTGTGAGCGTACACATGTGCCACGGCACGTGTATGGAGGTCAGAACAACCTCGGGTATCAGTTCCTGCCTTCATCCTTGTTTGAGGCAGGGTCTCTCTTGTCTGCTGCTGCGCTTCTTGTTCCAAGCTAGCTGGCCTGTAAGCTTTCAAGCTATTCTCCTCTTTCTGCCTCTCATTTCACCCTAGGAATGCTGGGATTACAGGCATGTGCCCTCGCATCTGGCTTTTACTTGGATTCCAGAGATCAGAGCCCAGGCCATGGGCCTCGTGGGCCAAGCATTTTCATCTGAAAAGCCATCTCCCTAGGCCAGGAAGGGCTTTGCCTTGTTTCCTTTGATTGCTTGTTTCTTTGTTCCTATCCTCCAGGAAACATCAGCTTCTGCCTCCACGTTGGTCCAGCTCTGATCTGGAATTCATTATTGGAACGCAAGCAAATGTAAATTAATGTATAGTCATCACATGGGCCTCTCAGCAAGGTAGGGAAATGTTGACATCAGCCTGAGAGTCAAAAGAGGCTCTGAATTATATGGTGTGACTCGGAGGTGTTGACACGCTGGCCCTCTGCCTTCCAACCTTCAGGAAAGAAAGCACATGGTTGGGAACAGAGCGCATGACTTCATCACTTTCCAGAACAACACTGGACAGTGAAAAGTCCACACTGAGCAGATCCAAAGTATTGCTTCATCCCTGTCCAGGAAGCATGCCTAATGTGAATTGACCATCTTCAACCATTGCTGGTTGCCCACTGTGGGTCTGACACTGAGGTAGGCGCTGGAGCAGCAGATGACCTCCAAAGACAGAGCAGGTACAACTCCAGCTACAAATCGGACCAGGGTGGCTCGGTTACCTTTCCTCTGTCCTGTATGTTCTTCGTCCCACGTCCCCTTGGCATCTCCCAAATATCTAGCTTCCTCCCTCTGGCTTCCTCTCTCTCTCTGCTGGACATCCCGCCTACCCTCTCCTGCCTAGTTATTGGACATTCAGCTCTTTATTGCTTCAATCACAGCAATACATCTTCACACGGTGTAAAATATCCCACAACAGCATGCAACAGCAGCATGGCTTCTCCCTTTGGACCTCCAGAGGGAGTTCAGGCCTGCTGACACCATCATTCATGGACAACTGAAGTCCATGCTGGACAGCAGACCTGACTCTTTGTCGAGGTCACAGAAGAAAAGCTAAGGCATCAAGTTACTGCTGGAATGCTCTTCAAGAAATATGAATAAGAGGCCCATGAGGCTCTGCGAGGAAAGCAGACATCCCACTGAGGTGCAGGCCTACCTTCCTGCAGAAGATAACATTAGAGATAATTTGTTAAGGATTTGGGTATTAGATCCAAAGAAATGGTTTGCTGGTGTGGCAGCATGAGGGGCGCACAGACATAAAACAGGCCAGAGGCTCTAGAGCAGGTGTTGGGCGGTACACTTACCTCCGTGTGCAAGGCAAAGGTAGGCATAGGACACCACAAGACAGCATGCCCTGGAGCCCCAGCTCTGCAGACCCTGCCGGCTTAAGAGAACTACATTGTCAGGAAGCCTGTCTCACCCCAACCCGAAGCCTCACTCCACCACAGACTCTGATGATCCCTTGTTTACACAGACACGAACTCACTGAGACACTCATCCCCCATACTGTCAGCCTGGAGCAGGGTCAGCATTTGCAGACTGGGAGGCCAGACAAGACTTTCTAGACATAAGAACAAAGCAAGGCAGCACACAAAGACTGGACTCGACATATCACTGAGTGTCAAGTGCCTGTCCTAACGCATAAACATAAAAGGAGATGGTGTTGCCTGTTCACGATGGGAAAGATCTAATGAGAAGGCAGACCTGGAGCCATCCAAGCAGGAGCCCAGCTTGGCTGTGACGCTAAGACAATGGGATCCAGTGCTGTTGGAATGCAGTGGTTTGTTACCTGTCCCCACCCGACGGTCTACCCAACATTTCCCCATATTGCAAGCCAGGCATGGTTGTTGTGGAATATTTGTACACTGTGTGAAGATATGTTGCTGTGATTGGTGTAATAAAAAGCTGGGTGACCAATAGCTAGGCAGGAGAGATAGGTGGGCAGAGAGAGGAAAAGGAGATAATTGAGGCATGCAGGAGATGAGGGATGAGTCAGACACACAGAATGGGAGAGAGATAAAAGTCAAGTGGTAGAATATAGATCAATAAAAATATGGGTTCATTTAAGCTATAAGGGCTAGTGGGACAAGCCTAAGCTATAGGCCAACCTTTCATTAATTAATAAGAAGTCTTCATGTCATTATTTGGGAGCTGGCTGTCAGGAACAGGAAAAGACTCATTACATATGGTGGTACACACCTGTAATTCCAGCACTAGGGAGGTTAAAGCAGAAGGATCAGAAGTTCATGGACCACCTAGGCTTCATAGAAACCTTGTTTCAAAAATAAAAAAGGAGTGGGGATACAGCCCAATTGGTACAGTGCCTACCTAGCATGTCAAGGTCCTGGGTTCAATCCTCAACATTATAGTGCACACCTGCTGTAATCCCAGCAATTGGTAGGCAGAGGCAGGAGGATCAGAAGTCCAAAAGTCCTCGGCAACATAACAAGTTCAAGACCAGTCTAGGCCATGAAGCTTTGTCTCAAAAACAGATAAATAATAAGTAAAATCCCTGGGTCTGTGGATTCTGCTTCAAGGATGAGGAGGAGTCCAGCCCTAAATAGTAAGGCTCACTGTTAAGAGGAGATTGCATCACAGGGTCATGAACAGCTCAGTGAATGACAGTGAAAATTTCCAAGAAGCTAAGAACATTATCTTCCCTTCCTTCTCTACCCTGGGGTCATAAGGGAAGGGTTAGGTGGTTGTTTTTCCAGGGTCAGCTAACCTTTGACCCAGAGCAAGGGTGGCTTATGAAATTCCCGTGGCTTCTAACCTGCTGGTGAGAGTCCTCCATCTGATACACAACTGCTGAGCTCGGCGACCTTGGCAGCAGCTGGAGGCTTTGTGTGTAGGTGTCTCCCTAAGCCTGCTCATCAAAAGTCCTCAAGGAGGATGACAAACAGGAACACAGTCTGGTGTGGTGGCACACCTGTGACCCCGGGGCTCTCTAGGCAGGAGGATGGTGAGCTTGAGGCTAACCTGAGCTAACAACAAGACCCTGTCTCAAAAAGGAAGCAAGGAATAGAGAAGAGGGAAGAGCTGGAAATCAGGAGAGAGGAGAGGAAGAGAGAAGGAAAGGGAGAGATGAGGGGAGATAGGGGAGAGAAGAGAGGGGGAGGGGAGGGAGGAAGGGGTGAACGTGACTGCCGCCATTCTCTGGGCTTCTCCCTAAAACAGCAGTTCTCAACCCATGGGTCACAACCCCTTGGGGGGGGTCACCTAAGACCATCTGCACATCTGATATTTACATTACGATTCATAACAGTAGCAAAATTAAAGTTATGAAGTAGCAATGAGAACAGTTGTATGGTTGGGGGTCACCACAGCATGAGGAACTAACTGTGTTAGGAGGTCACAGCAATCGGAAGGTTGAGAACCACTGCCCTCGAAGAGAATGATGTGAGGTCTGTTGTGACATCCTACCTTGAATTCTCATTGATGGAATGTTTGCCATCCATGGTACCTTTCCTCGTCAGTTTTATCAATTTGACACTGTCTGGACTCCAGAGCCACCTGAGAAAGGAATCTCAATTGAGAAATTACCCACGTTAGATTGCCCTGTGGGCACGTCTGTGGGAGATTCTCTTGACTGTTAAGTCATGTAGGAGGCTCTAGCCCACTATGGGCAGCACCATCCCCTTGGTAGGTAGTCCTGGGCTGTATTAAGAAAATCAGCTAAGCATGTGCTGCAAGCAAAATCCCTCCACGGTCTCTGCTTCAGTTCTTGCTTGAGTTTCCGCCCTGACTTCTCCCAACTGCAATGTGACCCGGAAGTGCAAACCAGATCAACCCTCTCCTTCCTCCAGTTGTTCTTGGTCAGTATTTTATGGCAAAATCAAACCACAACAGTGCTCCTTGGGAGAACTGAGGGCTGTGGGGACACCGTATCTCTCACCTAGTAGCACAATCTCTGGGATGCTAACCCACCTGAACACATCTTCCTGGGTTGGTGCCAGAAGCTGCCCACTCCATAAGTCTTAGCATATAACCCAGGTTGCCGCCATCACCTCTGCTTGGATGTGGAACTGAGCATCAAACCAGAGGACTAGAAGGTTCCTTTGCTCCTGTGTCCCAGCCTTCCTGGCAGGCCGAATCTAGAGGGACCCTGTAGCCGATACTAAAGACCCAGATTTCCAGAATTTCCAAAGAGGCAGGTCAGTGAGTGAGGAAGGAGTTAATCCCAGACTACCTGAGGGGGAGGAAGGCAGGTGATGTGTTTCTTTGGTGTGTGGTGGCCACAGGCTACCCCCTGATAGAAGTACCAAATGTCATCCTGGTTAAGCCCAAATGCTCAGCTGTTCTCTATTTCTAATTCCTGTCTTTATGGAATTTTGTGGGGTTTTGTTGCGATTGCTGATTCCATCTCTACCACCACAGCGTAAATTAGAACCCCAACCTAGGGTTCACACTGTCATGTCAGCTGCATCCTATAGTTGAGACCCTTGTCCTGCTCCTCTGCTTCCTCACCTGGAAGAATGCAGAGGGGCAGCTGGACAACCCCAGCCTCCGGGATCGTGGCTACCGCACTCCCGCTTGCCTCCCAGTCCATTAGAGGAAGGAAAACTGTGGCCTGGGCCTATCGATCAGCCTTACCCGATGCCTCGGAGCCAGGAACAGTGAGGACTAAAATCAGGCTTGCTCACAGGTCCCCAGGCGATAGACTTTAACACATCCTGGCCCAAGCCTGCTAGAATAAAGGCCAAGTCTGGATCGCAGCTAGAGGCTGGATGGCTAGAGATTAGAAGAAGGACTTTTCAAGAGAGGCCCAGGAATGGGGGCCGATGGAGGGGAGATGGAGGAGTCCTGTGCATAATCTTGGAGCCACTAGGCTTTTTCCAGATTGGGTTATTACATTAATTCAGAACTTATGCTCACACTTAAAAGATTTCTGTCATATTTTATGAACGCTATGATCTCAGAGTAATTTGCCCTGGAAACATGTCACATTAAATCAGGGACACTAATAAACTTTATTACCGAAACTCCATGTGGATCCGTCCACGCAGATAGAGCGGCCTCCTGCTACACCCCTGCCCCTCAACAGCAGTCCCTCCTGAAGCAGAAATAAGCTGGATAGCATCCCGCTGCCCCAACACACACATGCCCATCAGGCTGCATTAGAAGCCTGGCCTGCTGTCCCACCAGGGAAGCTCATTCCAGTTCCAGAGGATGGACTCAGTCTTTGGAACGCACTCTGACCTCGTAGCTTTAACATCTTCCATTGGCCCTGCCTTGGCCTTCGGCCTGGACTGTGCAGAGCTGGCAAGAGTCACTTCACAGATGCAAGCGAGATATTAACAAGTCCTAGCTAACAGCTAGGCGTGGTGCGGCAAGACTGTGATCACAGTACTGGGCATGCTGAGACTGGGGAGTTCGAGGCCAGCCTGGGATAGATATGGAGACCCTGTCTCAAAAAAAAAAAAAAAAAAAAAAAAAAAAAAAAAAGAGTCAAATCCTTCTGTTCTGCTACCAGTTGGTGTGTGACCCGTGCACAGGCTAGCCAGGACCATGTGATATAGAAAGCATTATTCCCATTTAGCAGATGTGTTTGAGGTGACATGTTTAGAAATGTTTGTTTGTTTCTTGAAAGCCTAGCATGATCCAAGCCCATGGCTGGGCACTGGGACTAACAGAAAGAATACAAACCCAATTTAAAATCCCAATAAGGTGATTTGAAAAACTAAGTTAACTTATTATAAAATATGTATAAATCTATACTGTTCTTTATAGAATATGAAGTACCTTAAAAATTTTTAAGTTCATATAAAAATTATAGAAGAATAATTAGGAAGGACTTGTGCCATCAGATATTAAACACCAAACGTGGGTCGGGGGAAAGGGGCTGGCGAGATGGTTCAGCCATTCAAGGCTAGGCTCACAACCCAAACATTAAAATGTGTGTGTGTGTGTGTGTGTGTGTGTGTGTGTGTGGTGGGGGGAGATTTGAGACTGCCAACACCACATTATATATACACACTTCCAAACAACAACCCCAGGGCTGTGAGAAGGAGCAGAATAAAGAAAACTGACAGGAAGTCTGTGTCCTGACCACATGGATTCCCAGGGACCTTCCCCAGTGTAAGCAGCTGGGCGTCCATCTAGTCCCACTGCTCAAGGAAACTGGAAGTCTTTTCTCTGGGGGTAGGGTGGAGGGGGGGGATGTAGGGGGGGAGGGGGGAGATGGCTCTACAGTTGAGAGTGCTTACCACCTCTTACAGAGGACCAAAGTTTGATTCCCAACACCCACACCACATCAGGTGACACACAGCCACCTGAATCACTCCAGCCCCAGGGGATCCAAGCCTCTATAGAGGAACACACACACACACAAATAAATCGTCTTTTAAAAAACAAAAATGGGCGGGTGGTGGTGGCACACGACTTTAATCCCAGCACTCGGGAAGCAGAGCCCGGCGAATCTCTGTGAGTTCGAGGCCAGCCTGGGCTATAGAGTGAGTTCCAGGAAAGGCGCAAAGCTACACAGAGAAACCCTGTCTCAAAAAAACCAAAAAAAAAAAAGAAAGAAAGAAAGAAAAAAGAAAAAGAAAAAAACAAAAATTAAATACAACAGAGTCTGAACTCAAGATAGGGCTTTATAAACTTTCAGGAATGAGACCAAGAGGACACTGACCCCACATAGCAAAATGCAGGTGTCACCCAGGGCCTGTCATCTGTTCATGGAATGCCAGCATCTGGGGCACTCTGCCACACACATCAACAAAAGCTGAACTGGAGGCCTCATGGCACTTCCCCAGTCCAGGGAGAAGACCCACCCACGTGCCAGCAAGAGAGAGACAAAACGAAAGGGCCTCTGGCGACCTGGGCTCCCTGGGGAAGCCCACACACAAACATCCTCCACTCGAGCAGGGACAGACAGTGAGGAAATGCTTTTCACAGAAGACATAATCAAAAACAAACACAAGGAAAAGTGTTTGGAAGAAAAACAGACAGGGTAATCATATTCTCAGGGAGGAAAAAAAATGATTTCTCACCATGTAACAAAAACAAAATGCTGCTTCAAGTGCCAGATTAAAAGCAAGAAAGTGACATTAGAAACTGAAACTGGTAGCTAAATACCATTGTTCAAGGAGATTAAAAGTTGAGGAAATCTCCTATAAGTTAGAAGTTAGTGGCTATAGAAGATGAAAGAAGAAATGATTTAAAATCCAGTGAAATCCAAAAGGCCAACATCCAGAATTGTATTAAAAAGTGAAGAGAAAATTTGAGATGAAAATTGGTGATGGAAAGATTGGATCTTGGAGATAGATAGCTCGATGATACAGAACTTGCCTAGCATGCATAAGGCCCATGGTTCAATCCCCAGTAACACACACACACACACACACACACGCACGCACGCACGCACG